CTCACCTAGCATGTGTGAGGCACTGGGTTCGATCCTCACACCACATAAAAATAAATAAATAAATAAATATAAAGGTATTGTATACAACTATATATACATATATATATATAGATAGATAGATAGATATAGATATAGGTAGATAGATAGTTTGGTTTATAGTTTAGAAATCTAGCTTTCTAATCATGTGAGCTGCCTGCAGGACATTGGGCAATCCTTCATTTACTGTGAACTTGGCACGAGGTATTTATTTACTGGAGAGACCCTGAGTGCAGATGACAGCTAATATATATAATATTTTATATAATATATATATTATATATTATAAATATATATTATATATATATATATATAATATATTTATATATATATAATCTCCTGGCCCTGGCTAGGCATGCAGCTCTGTGGCAAACACTTGCCTTCCATGTTTGAAACCCCGGATTTAATCCCCAACATCTCACACACACACACCACAAAGAAATCTAGCCTCATCGCTGGACTATGGAAATGTCTCTGTGCTGCAGATGTTTTGACTATAAACTCTTTTATAAAGTCCTTGATTTTGTAGACAACAAAGCCCAGGGGGGATTATGCAGTACCAACTCCTAGCTGGAGGGGGCACTGTGCACACAGAAAAATACACGGCTAGGGCACTCTGGGAGTTGTGCAACTACTGACCCCATTAGGGGACTTGCCCAAGGTCATGCTGCTAACCAAACCAAGTCTACAACTCAGGTTTCCAGATTTCCTCCATTAAGCCACACCTCATCCCAGGACTCCTCAGATTCATGGTCCCACAGTAATATCTCCACTTTGATTCTGTGGAGAGAGGAAGCTCCGAGTGAACTTTAAGAAAGAATGAGGCAAACAGTGGAGCCTCCTTCAGCACTGCCTCCCTCAGGGACAGGGTCTGTGCCCAGCAGAGAAAGCTGAGCTTTCATTCCCAGGTGAATACAGACCCTAGCAAATTTTGCAGGATTTTCCACAGAGGCTGGTTGGAATGACTGGAGAATGTCTTGGGTTGGCTAAGAAAGAAGTCCCAGGAGAGGGATAAAGAGGCAGGACACAGACAGACGTCAAGGACAGTAGAAAGGCCACAGCAGCCTCTTGTCTCGCCCGCCCGGCTCTCAGGGCCATCTGTGCTCTGCTCTCAGGCTGCTTCCTCTTCCTTTAACCCTCAATTTTACCTTCTCTTCCCTCCCCCTTCCCAATTTCAGAAGCAAAAATAACCAATGGAGGAAAGAAAACAACAAAATTAGGGGGGAAAAATCCCCTAAGTCTGTGCCCATGTTTTGGAGGGAAATCTAGCTTTCTAATCATGGAGCTGCCTGCGGGACGTTGGGCAATCCTTCATTTACTGTGAACTTGGCACGAGGTGTTTATTATGCCCATTTTACTGGAGAGACCCTGAGTGCAGACGACAGCTAATGTTGTACTTTGGGAATCAAAGTAGAAATGTCAATGAGGCTGCTAATTATTTAGTAAATTAAATATTGCTGCCAGCGTGCTCTTCTAATGCCCTACGTCTGATCATGCTGTCTTAATGCAAAGCCAACATTCAGATTCTATTTAGGCAATCAACAAGATGGCAAATTCGTTATTGGTTCTTTCCGTTTTAGTAGAAGATATTTGAGTATGCGGCTTGAGACTCTTGTGGGAGTCTGGAGTGATACTTATGAAGGTAAAGTTTAACTTGAGTTTGAAGACATAAATTTATAAAATAGCAAATTTATATATTTGTTATCACATTATTTATAACTTACAAAATATAAATTTTATATATTAATGTCATTGCATTATTTATGATGTAACACATAAAATTAGATTTCTATTTTTTTCTTATGCCTTTTGGGGCGTGTTACTAGAAATGCAACAACAAATAATTATAAAAACCATTATTTTCAGACTATGATAAGCATTCCATTTTCGGAGGTGACTCCCAAAAGATTCTTGTTATAACTTTGCCTTATGAAAACCTTGTTTTAAAAGGATGCATCTTTGTATCAGCTAGGGAACTTGAAGTTGTGGAATATATTTATGAACATATTTAAAGTAAATATTTTCAAAATAAATAGCAAGCGATTGGTCATGAATTTGCATGCACCGCCTCTGAAAAGCAGCACATTTTGAAGAGGTCTGTTGAAACCCTCCACTGGCCTTTCCCTTCATTCTTAAAAGGCATGTGGGTTCGATTAGCTCTCAAAAAAGAGAGTGTTTTCATAGCCTCCGGTACAGCGTTTATAAAAATTGTGATGATTTCAGGGACTGCACCTTCATTTTTTGAATTTTCAAAACTTGTCCCTTTTTACTCTTATTTTCTTTCAACAAAACAAAGACCGAAAGACCCCTTTAAGAAATTTTATCCATTCTCACAGAGCCCCAGTTTGTTGACCTTCAGGCCACAGAGTAAAACCTTTCTTTTAAGTCAAGCATTCCCCATTGGGAAGCACTCCAGCTTTTTCTTTTTATGAGGAATTTTAACTGCTGGACTTAATTTAATTATTGTATTTTGTACTTACTCCCAGAAGCCCCAGGGCAGGAGCTTTGCTTTTTTCGAAACTTTCAAATAAATATCTTTAGAAATGCACATTTCTGATGGCAGTGTTATTTCTTTGACTTGTCTTCTGATCCAAATCCCAAACATGGGCCTTTCAATTTCCTGACTTCCACACGGGTGGGTTTCCACCTTCGCACCTCTTTGCCAGGCCAGCCTTGGGGAGGGGAGCAGGCAGGCTGGCAGGCATTGAGGTCCAGAGAGTAGCTGTCCAGGCTTCTTAACAGGAAAAGAAAAACCGTCTCCATCGTGGACCGGCATTTTATACACAAGCTGGATCTGGGGACATGGAGTTTAATGAGAAGATCTCCTAGGTAGACGTTGCAAGGAAATGAGGGGATGCTGTCCCCGTGACTGTGACTGCCTCTGAGGAGTTTCTATAAGGTGCCCCCCATCCACCGCCCCTCCCTCACCCCAAGGAGGCACATCGCAAACACACGGGGGGCGGGGGGCGGGGAGTTGTCATCCCAAGCTAAAAGCCATGATTCAATATCTTTATTTCTCATCTATCTTTATGTATACCAATTCCTATCTGAGCCTTTTAATTTCAATCTTTTGAGGTTTTTTTCCACTACATCCAGACTCTCAAAGGTGAAAAATAAATCTGTGTTTTGTAACTGACTTAAAATTCACTTAGGAATATTGAAATGCACAAGATCTGCCTAAAATACTTTGTGGGGGTTAAGTCACTTATGAAGTGGATTAAGGACTTCTGTGACCTCTGACTTTAGGAAGAAGAGGATTCTAAACAGAATTATCTGCAAAGTGGATTGGATTTCCTTGTTTACTTTTATTTAAAATTTTAAATTTTAGAAATCACATCATGTTGGAGCCAAAGAAGGGCTTTCAAAGAGATCATCTGGGGCAATGGGCTGCACCCTGTCTGCGTTCTAGAATTGCCTGGTAGAGTGAGGAGGGCACCTGCAGACCCTACTACTGTGCTGGGGAGGCTCAAATCCTTGAGCCCAGGAATTCAGCACCAGCCTGCACAACAACAACAAAAAGAATGATCTGGTGGGCTTTCCATAGCTGCCAATATCCAGGACCCACCCTAGATTAATTAAACCAGACTGGAGCACCACCCATCATTTCGCAGATTAAAGAGAGAAACAAGCAAAATTCAGAACCTTCAAAGATGGAATGTGGCTTTGCATTAGGAGTAGCATGATTGGGAACTCCCAGCTCTACAGAAGCTTAAGAAGCAAACTTCAAAAAGTTTCCATAATGATGTGTTGGGCCACACGAATTGATTCTACAAGTAAAAGAATTGAAGAATTTCTCCCTCGTGACCTAATTTCTCGTTTTATATACGTTCACATCCCTGGCTGATGGCAGAGGGGCTGGAAATGGTCATTGTCTTGAAAGGTCTCACAATCATTTTTCAAACTCAGGCACCCTTCTATGGGTGGCTGTGCTCCCATAAACTTCCTGAAAACTCTGGCCAACTGGTGATATAATTGAGCTTCGTGGTTACTATTCTGTGAATTTTTTTGGCTTGTGTGTATTTAAAATGTATATAGAAAAAGCAGTATTTGCCCCAGTGTCCACTAACGCTGTCAGATCACCTTTTTTGTTGTTGTTGTTTTTATACTGGAGATTGAACCCAGGAATGCTTAACCACTGAGCCACATCCACAGCCCTTTTTATTTTTTATTTTGAGATAGGGTCTCACTGAATTGCTTAGGGCCTCAATGATAAATAGCTGAGGCTGGCCTTGAACTTGCAATCTTCCCACTTTGGCCTCCGGATTACAGGTGTGTGCCACCACGCGGGGCTGTCAAGCCATTTGTGAACTGTTGAACTCTACACTGGCCTGTTTTGTTTGTTTTGATTTTTAAATGGAAGCAAAAGCCAGGTGTGATGGCACACACCTGTAGTCTCAGTGGCTCCGGAGGCTGAGGCAAGAGGAATACAAGTTCAAAGCCAGACTCAGCAATTTAGCAAAAGTCTATTTCAAATAAATAAATAATAAAAAGGGGACTGGGGATGTAGCTCAGCGGAAAGCACCCCTGGGTTAATTCCCCAGTACTGGGGGGAAAAAAAGGCAGACACCATGCGGGGAGGGTGATCCACGTCCACAGTTCAGGGATCCTCTGGAAGGGTCTCGAGACAGCAAAAGGCCATGGGAAGAGCAGGCTGCTTCTTGAGACTCAGCAGACTTTGAGCCATCCTGGCAAACAGCATGCCCTTGCCCACCTCCCCAGCCCTTCCCCGCCAGGGCTGGCCTGCTTGTAGGCAAAGGGGGCTTCAGTTATTTTGACTGCAGGGCCTGGTCCTGGGCTGGCTGTTCTCTCAGGCCCTGAACCTCCCGGGAGAGGTCCAGGAAGCTTTGATCAAAATTATTTGCCTTGGGCTAAGAGACCTCGGGTTGGCCACTCCTGGATCACCCTAATAAGGCCGGGACCTAGGATCACAGATGAGAACCTCTTGTTCTTTTTCTTTTTTTTAGCAAAGGGAATGCTGAGATGCAAGGACTCCAACTATAGGGTTACTACTAGGAGAGGGTAAGTGAAAACACAGTGGATCTGTGAAGAAGAATACCTTCGACCCTCTACTAGGAGCCTGGGATAAGGAGCAGGACTTCACTGTGTTTGTGGCTGGCTAGGAGGGCCACCCGGAGGCACCCAAGGCCCCTGGTTAGTCATTCCAATGGATGTGAAAACAGGTGGGCAGTTGAGCCTCCTTATTCTACTTTCCTCCAAGTTCGAATTCTCTTCATTATCTTTTAAAACATGCAAATTAGTCAAGGACCTAGCGACCAGCTCTGAGGCAAAAAAAAATGCAGGGGAGGGGGAAGGGAGAGAAGACTTTCAAAAGTGTCTTAGAGAAAGATTCTCATGTAGCCATTAAAAAGAATGTTTGTAAAAAAGATTAGAAATATTTAAAGTTAATGAAATACTGAATTTGGCTGTTTGGTTATTTCCCTCATAGTCTGGGTTTTTTATACTTCCCTCTACCCTCCACATGGACACAGTGAACATACATCACTATGATAATTAAAAAATAAGATAAATACTAAAACAAGGAAATGCAAGTAGATGTGGCTTTGGAGTTTCCATCTTTCCTAAGATGGACATTGATAAGTTTTTGGTTTTGTTTTTGATACTGGGGATTGAACCGAGGGGTGCCACATTCCCAGTCCTTTTTATTTTTTCTTTTGAGACAGGGTCCCACTAAATTGCTGACGCTGGCCTTGAACTTGCAATCCTCCTGCTGGGATTACAGATGTGCACTACTCGCCCAGCTAGCTGTAGACTGGTTTTGTTTGTTTGTTTGTTTTTGGAACTGAGGATGTACAGGGTCTCACTGAGTTGCTTAGTACTTGCTTTTGCTGAGGCTGGCTTTGAACTCACATTCTCCTGCCTTAGCCTCCTGAGCCGCTGGGATTACAGGCATGTGCCACTGCGCCTAGCTAGCTGTAAATTTTAAAATCAGAAAAATGGCCAAATGCAGTGACGCATGCCTGTATTCACGGCCACTTGGGAGGCTGAGGCAGGAGGATTGCAAGTTTGGAGGCAGCCTCAGCAAATTATCAAGGGTTCAATCGCCAGTACCAAATTTAAAAAAAAATTAAAAGCTAAATCGGAAAAAATGTTAACATTTCATCTCATTGTTGCTGTAAATAAGAATAAGTATCTGTGAGGAAAACGAGTCAAGCTTAAAGTCAGAATTTGAGGGATACCTAAAGACACCAGAACTTTTTCCCCGCATTATTATTACAGGAGTCATCAGAAGGCGGACTGGAGAAAATTGAAGACAAGCATATAAGGGTTTTCACCATAAAATTAATTCATCATTATTTGAGTGAGACCCTCCAAGGATCCGCGCTCAGGAGACGAGGGGGCGGGGCTACAGTCCTCTTGGAAGTGACTTGACAAGCGCCAGCAGAATCGTCATTCTCTTCATATCTGCATCTGGGGATGTATCCTAAGGAAATGCTCTGATTCTAGATAGAGAGAAAGGCTCATTCACACTCACGACCTTATTCACAATTGTACAGAGGAAGGGGCGTTGACTTGATGGAATATTAGGTAGCCACGAAAGGCGTTCTCCCGGAGATGAGAAGAAAATGCTGCGAATACTAAGTTTAGCCAGGCACGGTGGCGCAGGCCTATGGTGGCTCCGGAGGCTGAGGCAGGAGGATCCTAAGTTCAAAGCCAGCCTCAGCAACTTAGGAAGGCCCTGTACAATTCAGTGAGTCAGGGTCTCACTAAAAAATAAAAAATTAAAATTAAATAATAAAATTAAAAATAAAAAAGGCTGGGGAAGTGGCTCTGTCATTAAGCTCCCTTGTGGTCAATACCTGAGGGGAGGGAGAGACAGGAAAGACAAAAGAAAGCAGGGGCTGGGGACACAGCTCAGTTGGTAGAACCCATGCACAAGACCCTGGGTTAGATCCCCAGCACCACCTCCAAAAAAAAAAAAAAAAAAAAACCCACAGATCTAAGCTGCATATGCAGAGTCTAGGGCTCCTGCCTGGCTCTATACTTCATAGGTGTGTGACCTGAACTTGGCAGTGGTGTCCCTGGGCCCAGTTTTCCGACTGAAATGACTTAACACATGCAAAGAACAGTGCCTGTCCCATATTGCGCCCTTGACAAATGTAAGCTGCTGTTATTATTGCAGTGTGATTATGACCAGGTTTAAAAGAAAACTGTTGCAATGATTGTGTTTGGATGATGGCACTGCTGGGGATTTTTAATTTTTTCTTCTTTTTACCTTTTCGTTGTCCAAATTTTTCATTAAATTGTCAATTTATTCAAAAACTAAGTTGGAGCTCATCACAAATAAAGGTCTATTGAAACATTGCTTTTGTTTACGGTGGAATATGCCTAAAAGACCCTGAGTACAGAGAGCCCCAGAGGAGATCTGGAACGCACAGCTGCCGGGACCCTGGGCATTCGGGCCCCTTCTGCCTCCACTGGAGGGTCACCTTGCCCAGGGAAAGATGGTGCAGCTGTGCTACTCATAGTGGCCTCACTGGCCAGTGTCCCCTCTCTTACCCCCACCCCCCTCCCTGCAGCTTCTTGGAAAGAGCTTCTTCGCCTTTCTCTACACAGATGTGACTCATGAATGTCCTCAGTAGTGACAGGGAACTAGGAAAGCAGCGGGGGTGTTCTAGAGGTGCAGGCTGGCAGTATCTCAGCAGTGGGGAGGCCAATCCTGAGAAGCTTGCCTGAGCCCCGCTCTCCCTGGGCCCTCCTCCCAGGATCCGCTCTGTTTACACACCTGCACCCAGGGCCTGCGGTTCTCTGTCGTGTGGGGGTGGCTCCCTGACCATTTGTGGGACCTTCCTGCTTCCAGGCAGCCTGCTACAGGAAAGCCTTCAAAGCGGTTCAGAAGCCCAGTGTGCACTGTCATCACTTAACACTGGTAGGCGGCCACAGGACCAGCGGGAATGAAGCAGCCCTGCCCCACAGGGAGGGAGCCCAGCGCTTCCCAACCAGCTCGCCACCAAAAGGTCTTTCCCTAAGGTCTTTCCCTAACTTTAACCATTAGCTGTGACCCCAGGGTGACCAAGGCCCTCCCCCAAAGTAAAACAGGAATGAAACGACTTCACAATTGGACTTCATCACACAGCACTGTGGGAAGGGTACTGAGTGGTTGTGACCTCAAGTAATCTAGCATCATTTTTTGGTAGAACGGACAGATGTGTCCATGTGAAGACAGATCAGCCGTATTTTTCTGTAGCATATCTTTGTGCAGTTGGAATTAAGCCACAGAGGCTGAAAGTTGATCGGCTCTTCATCGCTGGCCTCTAGCCTGGTGCCTGCTTCCTCGTGAATTTCCATCCACTGAGTGAGTTGATAAATGGGAATGTTCTCTGTACTGTTAGGTGCTGGGAATACAGAACTCCACAAGGCAGAGTCTGGCTCCTAGATTCCCACACCAGTGGTGGAGCCAGACTCAGAGTAAGAAGTATTGAAAATACAATGTGATTTTCCTAAATCCATAACACTAGTCATCAGTATTCATGGTTAAGCTCCTCCTATATACCAGGAGTTTATAACCCTCCCTTCAAAAGTTCACTGTCTAGTCTGGAAACAACTGTGAAGTAAAGTTAGCAATACCACATAAAAAGCAAAACAGAAATAAGTGCATGGCGACACATCGCCCCCCCCCAGTGCCCCCGCCCCCCAGCCCTGGGGATTGAACCCAGGTTCTCATGCATGCTAGGGAAGCATTTTACCACTGAGCTACACCACCTGCCTAGTGCAGTATAATTTAACCACACAGATACTGCCATCAAGCCGTTATTTAACCTTTCTGGGCTTCAATTGTCCCATTTGCAAAATGAGGTCAAAGGATGGTACAGACCTATCTCATAGGTTGTTAAGAGAAATCAATGAGTTAATATCTGTTTGTAAAACACTCAGGTTGGTGTCTGGCAAGGACTGAGTAACAAATATAAATACACGTGAAATAAATAAATCTCATGGAAGAACCCACTTGGTTTCCCCTTGGTACCTGCCTCACAATTTTCTGATAGGACTCTTTTTTTTTTTTTTTTTTTGGTCCTGGGGATTGAACTGAGGGGCACTGAGCCACATCCCCAGCACCACTATTTTGTATTTTGTTTAGAGACAGGGTCTCACTGAGTTGCTTATCACCTCGCTTCTGAACTTTCAATCCTCCTGCCCAAGCCGCTGGGATTTGGGGCGCTGATAGGACTCTTGACCAGATACAGCTCCAGGCCTCTGGTCAATAAGGGAAGGAAGAGTTCAATTTCTGTCTGTGGGAAAAAATGAGTATTTGGCAGAATGGAAAAAAAAAAAATCTCAAAGCCCAGAAATGAGAAATGTCTAAACCAAGGATTGCAAATACATTCTAAATGCATGCCACTCCCTTCTCCCTGGTTTAACGCAGACCTTGCTAATCAACCCCATATCCTTTCCAACAGTCAGACTAGCTTCGGCTTCGGAATCCATGTCCAAACAGGGCCCAGGCAGTGGCCACTTATCACGAGTGTTGGTGTCCCTGACTAAACCTCAGCTTTCTGGTTGGCCTCAGCGTTGTTTTGCCCACTGGACAACCTGGGCTGCCTTTCGGGGAACTGACCTTCCACTCGCCTTTCCAGAATGTCCTCCACATTGCCTGGTGCTGGGACCCTGCAACCCAACCGCCCCCTCCTGAGAGAATCCTAGTGGAGTGGGTGCCCCGCGAGCCCTGCTGGAGCTTCTTTGCAGCAGAAAGTGAGCAGGCTTGGGAGAGGGTCCACAGCCACTACCTAACTGTGGCCTCAGTGAAGCACATTACTCAACCTCTCTGAGCCTCAAATTTCTCCTGGGTAAATAAATAACCTCTCAGGATTGTTGCAAGAATTCAATGTGACAATGTACCTCAAAGACCCTGGCTGGAGCAGGCGCACAATAAATGGCAGATGCTATTATTGCTAATCCGGCTCTGCCCATCCACCAGCCTGGCACAGAGCCTTCACCGTCTCATCTTAGTGTCCCCTGACAGACACTGCCACGGAGAAAGGGCTGGGAGGCTGCCATCTAAGCCCCACACCTGGACTCCCCACTGAAAGGGTGTTCACTGTGGGTGAACCAGAGAAGAGGTGGGAGGGGAGGATAAGGGATCTCTGAGATGCAGACCCTATTAACAAAGGATAGCAGGAGGAAGGGGAGAGGGCCCAGGAGGGCACCAGGGGACAGCTAGGTGGACAGAGTCTTCCCCAGCTCTTCTAGGGACCGAGATGCTCTAGCTCTGGAGGTCCTTCCTGTCCCTTACCCCAGCCCTGCTGGACCTCAGCATCAACAGGTATGAGTGCCTGCTTCAACTGGGAAGGGGTTCCATGCCAGGCTTAGGTTTGGACTCTCCCTTAGACCCCACTCTGACCTGCTCTTACCAGCTTATACTTGATGTCCCCCACCATATCCTCCTGCTCCCCCTTCCAGAAAAATCAGCCGTGCACCCTTGGACCCAGCCAATGCCCAAGCACAGCACACTGGTCCAGGGCTGGCATCTCTCTAGGTCATCCGGGGACTGCCCCACAGGAGCTGACCCAGGACAGCTCTCATCTGCTGGGGAAGAGTGGCCGCAGTAAACACCCCACCCAGCCACTCGTGCGGGGGCCAGCCTGCCTTCCAACAGCTCCTGCGAGGGCTCTTAGTGTAAAAGGCTCTGTCAACATTTCCATTACAGGCTCCTCTTCCCGAGTCTACAAGCCACCTGGGAAAACAGAAGGAGCCCAGGCGGAAAGTTGCCTGGGGAGGGAGCAGATCCGGGCGGAGAGCCGAGCCGGGTGCAGCCGCCCTCGGGGAAGGGACTGGTGCTGGGACCCTGCAACCCCACCGCCACCTCCAAACCCGATCACAGGCAAGGCGCCGCTTCTTTTAATTGCTCCAAATAAATATCGTGGGTCGTTTTAAGAAAGATGTCTGCAGTGTCTTCCCCATTGCCAGGAAGTGCTTCGGGGTATTGTTTGCAGAGAAAGGTGTGATATAAATTGAAACTGCTCTTGCTCAGAGCCCAGTCCTGAAAGTCCATGCAGTGGGAAACATTTCTCACCGTGCACAAACTGCGAATGGTCTTCAAAATTAAATTTTCTGATTAAAATCTGCATTGTTGGACCTCCCGCGGGCGCCCACCATTTCATGGACAGAAGACACTTCTTGTAATGGCAGCGAGGGAGACCTGTTATCATGGGCTGTAAACTGGCTTCGCGGCTGCCCTTACAAACCTGGAGGGCTCCATTGTGCACACGCTGCATTTTCCATGCAAATCTAGGACTAGTGATCCCCCAGCCAGGCTGCAAGCCGGTCAGTCGGCAAGGTAGAAGATGCAGCAGGAGGACCGGGCAAGCGCACATATATTCATCTGCTGGTTTTTAACTTTTTTAAAAACATTTTTTCTTGACAAGGGCATTGTTATCTGAGACGTTAGATAAAGGAAAAGATGAGGCCTCAGAGGGGCTTAAATTTAGTAGCCCAGCCTGCCCCAGAACACATACAGCTTTTCCTTATATGGATTTACCTGCTGTCCCCTGTCCTCCACCCCCACCAGGCTCTAAGGCATAGCTCTGAAGTCAGGCTGGTAAAGCTTAACCAATAACTCCGCACAGCAGTACTGACAGGGGGGTCGAGCTAGTTACTTTGTTTTACAAATGCAGAATGTGAAATCAAAACAGGAAATTCTGTTTTTGTTTTGGTCTAAGAAGATGTGCACTCGGGAACACCAAGGACTGGCTTTTCATCTTTCCCATTTCCCAGCTTATGGTTTGGGTTTGCAAGTGAGCACTTTCGGAAAGTCAGTATCAGCCAGACACACACAATTTTTTCTTCTTTTTATCGCTAACCGTTAGAATAGACTGTGTCTGTCTCATTTGGTAATTCATTTCCTTGCTCAGGTAATACAAAAGAGCTTTGACTCACAAAGAAAGGCAGAGGGTGGGGGAGGAAAGAGATTCAGCCAAATAATTGATATGTAGCAATATAGCTCCTATTTTTACCCCAAAATAAATAAATAAATAAATAAATAAGGGAAGCCAAAGTGAACAACCTGTCTGGATACAATGACTCTCACCAAATCTTTTTCTAGAAAAGATCACTAAGGGTAGAGACAGAGCTGGTGCTAGGGCAGGATAAATTAAGCCACTTCCTCTGAAGGAGCAAACTCAGGGGAAGTGGGTGGAGGTGGATGGGAACTCCAAAACCACAGTTCAAAGGCTCAGACCACCTGGTGGACACCTGGACAAAGCGGGTGATATCACACCCACACCCACACACCCTGGACTCAGAATATCCTGTTTGCAGCTTCTTTCCCATAAAAGCCAGC